GGGGGGTGGTGAGAAAGAGCAAGGTGGACGAAGGGGTAAGAATCCGTGGAGAACGGGGATGCAACGAGGCTGCAAGTGAGGCGAGAATCTAATTTCCCGAGACAAATCCTTAAATGTGCCCTGGAGCCTAGCTGGAAGGTGCGAGTCAGGCTAGCGACTGGAATGAGCTCGCATCTAGCACCCCGGGACGACGACCTTTAACTCGGTTCGCCAATTTTGCATCTCCATAACCTCGCGAAAACGCGTCATTAAGTTCATTCACGCGGGGAATGCGGTGAATCGAAAGCGCGAATCGTCGCCGCGTTATCCGAGGAATGTAAAATTGTGATAAAACAGTTACGCCCGATTGAAATCCTTGCTACCGACTGAGCGGCGAACTTCAAATTTCCGAATATGTATGTACATAGATAATATAAAAACTGTCGCGTATTCGGAATACGATTTTTAAACAGACGACAGAAGGTTTTACTCCGAATAAATTTATCGCTAGGAAATATCGTTTTGAACATCGTTGATCTCGTACGTTTCGATTATTTTAAGGTGATTATGTAATAATCTGTACATTTGTACTCAGAGAATGAATTTTCAGTGGTCGCTCGAGAGTAGCAACAGAGATACACTGCACTGTATAATCTGCAGAGAGGGCATATTTTGTCTTTAAAGGATACATATAGTCAACAACGTCGACGAATGGTGTAATTTGGGCCCAATGGCATTTCTTTGTTTCTGTTCTGTATTCCAGAGTGCATGATGGACGACGGGAGCACCAGTGCCATCTTCTGGAAGTAGGAGGCACCGGTGGCAGCCGCTGAAGGTAACTTCGACTTCCAGGAGATAGCTAGCTTCCTTACAGTACCTCTATTCTTCTTCTTCTCCGCAAATCGGCAGAAGGAAAACCTCTCTAAGAGAAAAAAGAAAAAACCAATTTTTCTCTCATCACGCCATCACCGCTGATTCAGTCATTCCTTCACGAACATTCTTCTCCTCCCTCGACCATGGTCCAATTTTTTGACCCGTCGCGCGAACAATATATGTATGAAAGATGCTTGTCACAATAGTCCGTACGTTTTTCAGGTATTTGCGTTGATCTAATGAAAAAAGTTATAGAATAAGCTTTCTCTGGTTTGAGCGACGTACAAAAGTAAAATTTTCGGCAACACTTTTCTCCCACTTTTCGAATTTATACCACGAGATCGTGTATTTTCGAGTACATACTGTTATAAATATCTATACAATATCTCTAATTACAAAACACGCTACGTTTACTTGTATCAAAATAATAAATAAACATACCTAATTGATATTTTTGTATAAAAAGTATTCGGAATAACATTATATGTATGAGCGTATTAAAAGAACTTAAAGAGATTTTAACGTTGATAGAAAACAATTTTCGAACTATTTGTCATTTTGGAGTACAGTCGGACACCGGGCTTTGGCCACCACTTGGAACCGGAATGCTTCAGGCGTTGGCCACAAGCAGAAGAAATTTCCTACCAATTAGATTCAAGCACATCAGTGTCTACAGTTCATAGAACTGTGAGGGTGCCTAGAAGGGTACCATAAATTGTTTAAATCGTACTTCTACATTACATAAATTTACGGAACTATTCTAAAATCACACAAATCCGGACAATATATGTATGACGATGCACACCGACGAGCAAACTCGGCTTCCGCTGGGGGGAAAAAGTGAGGTAGGCGAAGGGCTTCCTACAATTTAGTTTTGGCAATTACTGAAATTTACGCCAAATTAACATTCGGTTTAACATTTATTTCAGTACCTGAAATGGTAGGAAGCTCTTTTCTTACGCCACTTTTTCCCCATAACGGAAGCCGAGTTTACTCCTGGGTGTAGATGTATATATATACACTGATATATATCAGTGTTTGTGAGGGTATGTGTGTTTATTTTATGATGTGTACGTGTTACACTGCAGTGTTGACAATGACTACTTTCGAGGTCTATTAAATAAATTTATTGTAATTCGTAAGTAGAATTATATTTATTAAAAACAACATTAGGTATTTTCGCCGTAAGGGAATTCCCTAGTAACCCTGCTTATGACGGCCATGACAAGCTGGCCAACGCCTGAAACTGGCTAGTGGCGTTTGATTTTTGATAACGCCTGAACGGACAATGCCCGGTGTCGGACAGTAAATGCTTCTTTAAAATGGTAAAAAATTTTATACATAGAATATAATATGACTAGCAACGTTTTTGTTAGATTATTGAAAGGGTCTAAAAAATGTACGAACTATTTCAATAATTACCTTGTATATTCACGTTCGAAGGAACACAGAATCCATGGTCCGAATACCGTCGAAAAAAATATATCCGATACCAACATATTGTATTCTTTAAACACATTAAAAGCGTACGTTCTATTACACAGTTAAAAATATAGCTTCTATTGAAATTCACCCTCTATTTTCTGACTTTCGGAATTGGCTGTTTCATCGAGTTCGTAAAGCTATTCATTTTCGACCATTTAGAATGCGTTTATTGTGTTAATCTCAGTAAGAAAGTAGTCTCCTTCCGATTCGTTCGGTTTGTATAATGCGACAGATCTTTCTTGAAAACCTTTTTCCGTTTCGAATTGCCGTTCCTAATCCATTTCATCGGAGAACTCGAACATACAGCGTGGTACACAATAAGGTATTACAGATAATGTTGTGCGTGCTCACGTGCGTGAACGTTTACCTAGTAGCAGTCAACTTGTCGTTCGTGTTTTTGCTCTAGTTATTGCGCACCGGCGTTTATCATATTATTAAAAACTCGTTACAGCGGAATGTGCGTGGACGCTC